TCAGAGCCCGGGAGAGCGCCCGTGGGTGAGGGCGGGAGCGAGCGGGCGCTGGCCACGAACCGCTCCAGGCCCAGGAAATGCAAGGCAGGTAGGTCAGCGACCGGCCTCTCCTCTCGGTCTCAGCCACGTAGGAAACGAAAGCCACGGGAGCTCCGTCCCTGCCCTCCCCTGGCGCTGCCTAAGTAATGGCTGAAGTCGAGGGGTGGGGGAAAGGTGCATATTAACCGACATTCTGCGGTCTCCCTAAAAGGGGCCTTTACCCAAGCGGTGGCGTAGTGATTTCAGGTTCCCTGCGTCTAGGGAAACTCGCTCTGCATCCCAAACAAGCCCTCTGGGTCTGGAGATGCAGCCTGGGTACCCGCACCCTCGTCTGTGCCGAAAAGAAACATCACTCTGCAGGTCACAGGGTGACTTCGGCCTTTCCTTTTCCTTTGTGACGGCCTCAGGTTAAGGTGCTGGGAAAATCAGTCTGACAGTCGATTTTCCCACCAGCTAAAATGATCAGAAATTGTGCCTTGTTAAGATATGTGATGCCAGGTGTTCGTTTTTATTTACCCTCAACTTTGTGAACCAAAGGGACTTTTGTACATGTCTTTTGTGTTGGCTTAAGTGAAGTTGTCTTTCTCCTCTGAATGTGAGCCCCCCACCCCCCACCACACACACAGATCCAGCTGTTAAGCATGTTACAGAACAGCCTGATTTGACCCCACTACCCGAACATTACAGTGTCCCTAGATTCTAATTCTCTGTCCAGAGGCCGTGAACGTCCTGATTGGAGTCCATTTGTAGCTAGAGGTGCCTTTTTCACCGGCCTCTTCAAGACAGTAGAATTCAACACTTCTCCTAGCAGCTGCTTTTCCCCTTCGTTTTATCTGTGCATATGTTGGTCCTGCTCTTTCTTTTATTGAGGTCCTTGAGTAGAGGTCTTGTTTCTTCATCAGTCCTGTTTACATTCCCAAGATACTTTCATTGTGATCAGCGTGACAGGGGGCAGTGCCCAAACCCCCTGATCGCCCTGCGGCTCTGTGTGTGACAGGGTGCGGCGCCCCACGCCCCCCCCCCCCACACACACACAGGTCCAACTGTTAAGCATGTTACAGAGTAGCCTGATTTGACCCCACTACCCGAACATTAGAATGTCCCCAGATACTAATTCTCTGTCCAGAGGCCGTGATCGTCCTAACTGGAGTCCATTTGTAGCTAGAGGTGCCTTTTTCACCGGCCTCTTCAAGACAATAGAATTCAACACTTCTCCCAGCAGCTGCTTTTCCCCTTCGTTTTATCTGTGCATATGTTGGTCCTACTCTTT